TTAACAGTACACTCCTTTATTCCAGATGCACCCCCACACCACTGCCAACCTACTGTTATGTACCACACTGTTGCATTTAATGATTGAAAAAAGCCTTTGGAATATTATTTGTATCTTTAATTGATAAAGTCATATGGATGAAAAATAGGGTGAGGCAATACAATACATGACACGACTTTGTTCCATCAGTCTAACTAAAATGCTGTTAAGAATTGCAGGCTTTATCCTACCATAAGGTTCTCTCGTGGGATAAAAGCATGCTATACTAACATATATATACTATATATAGTATATACTATAGTATACTATACTAATCCATCATGTGTTAAATCAAGTGAAGCAATAAGCTATTTAAAAGCATCACAAGCTGACCAAAGTGTTACACCAATTCAAAAAATGAAATGCCTTCAACACTACTTCCACTGGTATTAAGTGGGAGGGGGGTTGAAAAAACAACTAGGGTTGGAAAATGCAGCCTTGGATTAACAGTAGTGCTGTGTACATTAGGTTGGGTGGCTTGAACTGACCCATTGTTTTAAAATTATGTTCATAAACTTTGATAATTACTATGTGTTGACCTTCCTCTCTTCCACACCAGCTGAAAATGATCTTTGATAAAACGTTTTAGGTGTTTATTGGAATAAAAAGTGCCTTTTCAATAAAAGACAAACAGAATTCTCTTGTGATAGAATTTGCACATGACCAAATACATGTGAATTCCTGCAGCTTTAAGAAATCCACATTGTGTTGTAAGGTTTATAAAGTTACTTAAATTGTTGTACATAGTTCCTAATGGAAAAAAACAGTTATTGTTAGGCTGTTTAAGACGAGCACTTCATTAGCAGTATCCCCACCCCTGTCACAATGCTTGTGAAGACGGCGAACATGAACTATAAACTGTGCTTTATTAATTATCTTCAATTGTGCGGTCATGGGCTAAGAAAGGTATCTGAAAGTAATGAACTCATTATGCACTTTTGAGTTGGTTTTGCTCAGGTATCCACTTTGCGGTGGAGTTCATTGTGATAGAACAGTTACAATGAAACAATGGAAGCACGATGAGAGAAAAACAGTAGGTTCTTTGTCTCAGACTATAGCTATAGGCAGAAAATGGACATAATTATTAGTGAATTGAGCAGTGCACCCACAACTTTCTTCTCCATCCAGTTGGACCAACCACCTGTCACCAAAACAGGAGAACTCAAGCAAATTGCCAGTGTTACCATGGTTATCACAGGTAATTCCAGGTTATTAATGTCTAATGTGCCGTCACCCTTTCATTATCCCATCCAGAGTCAGGAAAGTGGCACAGATTTCTGGGCCCTGTACAGAGGCAGTCTCTGAGGGCCCCTCCCCTTCGACATATTTTTTTACAAATACAGTGATTTACATAAGTGAAGGCTTTAGACAAACAGCCAATTCTCATTTAAAGGACCAGTGTTTAATATAGACGGGGGATTTTTGGAAGAAATGTAAAGGCCACTTTTTAATCAACCATCACTTTTTATTCATGTCTTATTTGATCTTGGGTTATTTAGTTGTTTTGCTAAACACAATTTTAGTCGAGCCCTTCAAATCTCTGAACCCTGTAAATTATACGCTGTCCTTTGCCACTGACCAGTATTTTCTTTATTTGGCCTTTTGTAGTTTTTATTTTATTTTTGTCTCATGCCACACTCGTCCCCACTAGATAACTTAAGTTTAGAATCCTTAGGTGCTTCCACACCGGAGTACTTTTCCCAGGAATAGTTCTTGGGATTTTGTGTTCACACCAAAAAGATCTGGAACTACAACTTAGTTTGCGCAAACCTTTTCACCCCCAGATAGTTCCTGCTAGAGAGCAGGGACTTTCCTGGGGAGAAAAAGGTTTGTGGGTGTGTCGGCCACACAAACAATTTCTGATTGGCTGGGCGAATTGCAAACCACGCCCCGTATAACTCAGAAAAGTTTTGTGAAGCCGCCATTTTATTTGCTCGCATTAGCATTATTAGCATTAGCATTAGCCCAGCGCACCAATGGAGAGAGACTAACTTATGACAACACAAAAAAAACATGGGAGCGGTGGAGTGATGAGGAGGCGTCGGCACTTCTGGCGATTTACTCGGAAGACGCTAACCAGCAGCTTCTACTGAAGCCAGTCCCCAACTCCGGGACTTCGGGTGGCAGTCTACGCCGTGAAGTTGTTTGCGGCCTGCCAGTAAACCCAAAGCAGAAGAAGAAGTGACGTCAGCGGCTTCATTTATGTAATCCTCCCTCAGGGACTTATTCCGGTGTGAATGCGATCTACTCGTTTGAGGGAGCTAAGTACCGGGAACTAAGTACCGCAAAGTACTTCGTGTGAAAGCTCCTCTTGTGTCTCTTTTTCAGTATGGGTTAGGGTTTCTCCAAAACACTGAGATTTAAATTGCTGTGATGGAGATGGATAATTGGAGCTTGGGAAATACAGAGGTACTTGGATATCAAGATATTTGAGGCCAAAAGAGAGCTTGACTGGGTCCATTACATTAATTCAAATTAAGTTGACTTGTCGCAGTTTAGAATGTGATATGGAAATCGGTGTCAAGCATTTGTGAAATTAACAGAAACTCCTAACACAGGTTTTATGCATTGGCTGAGTAAAAAGTAAGCACATATTTTAAAAGATTTGTGTAATAAAACAACAACAAGTATGATTTCATAGCAACCAGTAATATTTATAAGTATGAACAATTCATTTACTCTGTCTTTATTTGAAGGTGAAATGTATCTTTTTCTTTACTATCCTGCAAGCTAACGTAACTTTCAGTTTTATTAAATAAGCAATTTCATAATGGCAAATGATAGGAATGTTCTGTGACGATTCCCTCCGCTCGTATCCTTGACCAAGATAGTCCCAATAAAATGAACACTTTCCACAACTTTTGGCAAAACAACAAAAATGTGGTTCCAAGCAAGCTGTGCCTTTTTTTAGGTGGCATCAGCAGGATAAATATGTTGCAATCTTAGGTGTTGTGATGTAAAATTATTGAAAATAATAATCTTAATAATGACATAATGGCAACATACTGGAACTCAAAATGTAGTTTCTCTGGAATGCAAGTTTAAATTGTGGCTTTGCTCCAAGCCTGCTTTAAAAACATGATTACAAAAACAACATGGAGATGTTAACAAGCCATTTTCTCTCCACTTCTGGTCGCCAAGATGGAGACCAATCAGAAAGAGGCAGAATGGCCAATCAGAAACAGTAGCCTTGGAAATAGCCAATTAGGCCTGTTTGTCTGTGAGGACAAAGCAAGTGATATTGCAGAGTGATTGCACCAGCGCCTGGCTACACAAACATGCTCAAATGACACCTCGCTTGTTGCCTTTCAACTCTAATTTTCCAGGAGTGTAAGATCTTGATTGCATCGGTGGCAGGAAGAGAGGATGTCTCATTATTGCACCAAAACAATCGCCACCTCAGAGGCCAAAAACAGAGATTTTGTTTTCATTAAGGAGTTATTGGGTCTCGGGCTCTCAAGTCAAGGCCAGCACACATGCACAACCACACACATGCATGACTCTACTCTGGCAATTTTATTTAAAAGATTTGTACCTTACTCCAGTCCACTTAATGAAGCTGTAAATGTAAAGACATGAGAGCCTTTACAGTGCTCCTCTGAGAGCTGCTACAATGATCCTGGGACTGAGCTGGTTAATTAACTGATTATTTGCTTGGCTGGAAGCCATGGAGAAATTAGGTGAATGCGAAGAGAGACAGGAAGGAGAGGAAAAAAGAGGACATAGGGGGAGAGGACAGAAGAGAATGGGAAGCAAGTGGGAAAAGAGCCCATAGATGAGGATCATTGGGCAGACAAAGGTAAGGCATAGAAGAGAGAAAATAAAGAGGACAGGAAAAAATAACATTAAAAGCATGGTAGGGTAATAAAGGAGAAGAAATTGGGAGTGAAAAGGAGGAAATTATGTCAAGAAGAGTAGGCAAAGATCTGGCATCAACACGTTTCAGTTATCTGTAGTATTGCTGCATTATGACTTCCATCCACTTGTGGGAGCACTGAGTACACTGCAGAGGATCAGCAGAGCAATTTTTACATCCACATAGACATGGTAGATTGTAGGAAATCCTCCTCATGATTAAACTTCTCCTATTTGTAGAGTTGCCAAGAAGACATTTTTATTTTAACTTTATTCCTCAAATGAAGTGGATTACACAGTATCTGAAATGCTCGTGGTCTGTAAGATGTCCATGAGAATGTGTGGGGTTAGAGTCAGACTGACATTAGAACAACCATCATGTGATCCAAGAGAGCAGCTGGAAAACTCCAACTGAAAGATGCCTTTTTTTTATTTTTCTTCCAAACTCAAACACTTACATCTCATATTTCCTTCCATAGAAGGAAGCAAAGAAGGAGGATCTACTTTAGGTTTCTAACCATTATTTATCAAAACGTATTAACCAAAAAATGTGTCTAAACACATCCTTTGCCACGGAGCACTGGCGGTTTTGCTACTGTTTGAGTGTAGACTATTATGTACACTCGCTGTTTTGCAACATTTTCTATATTGCGTGCGAACACATTGAGTTTTTTGTTTTTGTGAACCAAAGAAATTAAAGACCATCCTATCAAACAGATCCGTGAAGAGAGTTCAACCAGGTCAGCTTTTGTACAAAATGTTACAGTAAATACTGCTGCTATAAAGTGACATATGCTCTTTTAAATAGGATATGTGATTCAGTTATAGCTCTTAAAAGAGATAAAATGTGCATATGTAAAGAACAGAGAGGGATGAACTTTCTTTGAATAACTTTTTAAAACCTTCACAATATGGCTGTGTATATGCTGTCTGCAAATTAAACTCCAGGCAGCTTTATGGTATATTGGAGACTTTCCAGGGAGTATGTGTATTTTGTGTCTGATACTATCTTTAAAAAAAGGAAATACAATCGAATACACACAAACACACGCTCAAGAAAGCAAAGAAACACAGGTTTATGTTTGTATCATATTCTTAGTTTATTGAACGCATTAGTAGCTGAGGTCTCCGTTGTAACTGTTTAAGAGGTCATAGGTCAGTCACCAGTCAGTTAGATCTTCTTGCTGGTTCTCTTAAACACTACAGCGCCAGATGTGGAGATCTAGAGAGAGACAGAGGAAGAGGAAAATAAATAAAACAAGGAGTAAGTTATTGCATTGTCTTGTTATTTTTCAATGGATTGGATCAAAAGCGACAAAGCTACTCACATGTTTTCATCTGAGAGCTGTAGATATAACTACCCAACAGTATATAGAGTAGTAGTGCAACATACACATTAAAGCAGCAGTAATATCAATTCCAAAACATCTTATATAATAGTAAACCACTGTCAGAGAACATTTGACTGCACAATGAGTACTTTACCTCAAGTCAGGCTTTGAAAATAGGACTGTAGGGGAGTTTTTTAACTGTGTGTTGTTAATACTTTTACTTGAGTAGAGAATCTAAATACTTCTTCTTCCATCACTGAATGACAGAATTAACTTTTTGGCAAAACTCTTGACAGTTTTCCACATTAGCAAACACCTATAGAACTGCAGCGTTAATGACTCTAATGATCCCTGCGGGGTGCAGGAGTATAATAACGGCTGTCACTCCTCAGCACTCAAAGCCTCAGCAAGTGTGTTTACCTCGATGAGCTTGCCCCCGACGATCTCAGAGGTGTGGTGGTAGTTGGGGAAGTTCACGCTCAGCTTGCCTCCATCCATGTGCACTGTAGCCTGAAAACACACAAGTTATAATCAGTCAGGGAACCAGGATACATCCATGCACCCCACCCTTTCTTCTTGCTTTATAAACAATAGCATGCTTCCATTTTAACAACAACTGGAGCTAAAGAAGGATTGAGTATGAGTCTTTGCCTCCTACCTTGAATTTCTTTCCTCCGATGGTCTCCATGTCGGCCTCCTTGTCGACGCTGAACGTGTTGGCGACCTTGGCGTTGGCGGGGTACAGCTGGGTCCAGGAGAAGGTGTTGCCGTCCTGGGTGATCTCTGTGACCATCTTGTAGTCACGGCCCTTTGCAATCACGTCATCGGGGATACCTGGAATTGAAAAAAAAGAGAAGTGTGAGCCCAAGGCAGTCCACAAACCCACAGTGAAGTATAATGCATGAGTTGTTTGGCTGAGAAAAGTTTTCTCACTAAGAAGCTTGCAGAAAGCGTCATATCCCTCCTGGCTCTCAGTTTCCCATTTTCCAGCGAAGGCCATTTTGGTGGTGTTGGTGTGAGGAGGCGTGAGAGATGCTGAGGTAAGCTGAGGGAAAAGCAAGGTACTGAGACCAAGACTGCTCCCTGGTTATATACCGTACGCCTCTCGCCACCTCCCTCATCTTCATGTGATGACACCAGAGTGTAATTACAGCTGAATGTGATGACTACAATGGAGGGCAATAACCTCTGCAAACGGCCGTTTATGGAGTTCCCCAGCACTGAGCAGAATGCTGACGGCTCAGCAGGTCAACGAACTCTCCACCAACGGCCCTGCGGTCGCGCCCTACCCTTTTACTGCCCTAGACTCGTCAAAAATCAAATAAAAATTATTGTTTGAAAGTATAATCCTTTTATTTGAAGTAGTTTATTGTCTTGGATTGTGAATGGTCCGCAAAGAGATCACCATTTACTTGTTCAAGGTCTTTCTTTACAAGCTTGCATTAAAAAAAACCTCTAGAATATGATGAGAAGTGATAAGAGTAATTCCCGTGTTTTATAACTTATAACATTGTGTAAGGAGTGACAGTTAATTGTTAAGTTGGTATACAAAATAGTTTTGTCCTTTTTACTTGATTATTTGCATTTTGAAATTGGCACATATAAAGTCAACTTCAGCCAGGTTATGCATTATTATGGCAATTTGTCCTGTCTGGTAGAGTGACCTGGTGACACAATCAAGTTTCTCTACCTTAATTGTTTGTCTGTGGTGTGTAAACATTGTATGTATTCCTAAATACAACTGTGTGATCATTTACATTTAAAATGGTCAACAAATGCCATGAAAAGACCAAATCCAAATGTTAATACTGTCTGACTTCCCCATTTTGTCTGACGCATTCAGCACTATTCCCATGTCTTCCAACCAAAGACACATCATTATATATATACTCCATTTTGAAGAATAGATTTCCAAAGCAGCTGGGCATTGTAGTTATAATCCACTGTTACCCAAATGGTAATTTTAGGGCATGAATTGAGGACTGTTTGCAGTGGATATGTTTTCTATGGTAAGTATTTAGGGCATAAAGATACTGTCTGGAATAAACTACAGAACCAAATGATTGTGCATTTTTGTGCAAAATATACTGAAGCTGCCAGCTAAGTGTTCAGTGAGCTCTGTACTAGGGTTTAATAGGAGATATATATGATTACTTATGGCACATTTCCACTGCAGCGGGGTAGCCCCGTTTAAGCGTCACTAAGCGTCCTCGCTCAGGCTTCGGGCTGCCTCTGGCTGTCCGAGGCCGTGGCGCATTTCCGTTACAGTTTAGGGCCTGGGGTAGCAACGCAGTGTAGGCGGGGCATGTGTGCAGAGACATCCTGGAACACTTTCACATTTTGAGTTGTTCCGTCGAGCTCCCGCTGGATTTTATCATCCCCAATGAGATGTAGGAACGTCGTCACCTCCTCGGTCGACCACGGTGTGCTTTTCTTTGACGTTGCCATTTTTGTAGCTCCTCCGTTTACAAAAATGCTGTGTATAAAAATGCTGCAAGCTTGCTTCTAGATATATGCAACGCTAGGGATGATCTTGCGGCGCTGACTTGTGAGGATTCTCTCTGACCAATCAGCACTCGTGAGTGTTGACGTTACTAGTTCAGCCCTGGCCCTGGCCTGATAGAACCACGATTTTATGGGGCCGGAAAAAGAGGGAAAAAGTAGCCGCTAGCCGGTGCTACGCTATATGAAAAGGCCACCAAAAACTGGCCTGGCCGCTTGAGGACGATTAAACGGGGTTACCCGCTGCAGTGGAAATGCGCCATTAGTGGACAAGAACCTGATGTTAATTTTTTCCGATCTTTTTTGGTCTATTAGATAGGAGGTGTGTGTGAATGAATTAGATTTCATTGAAAGAGTATAATAACTATTATAATTGAATATCTATATAGATGTACTACAGAATATAATTTGCTTTATCTAGTAGTTATAATTTGCATGTATGTTCTTTTAATCCAGTTGTATTAATAAACATTTGGAAAATTGTGTGTGCAATCAGAAAACCAAATAAAAACGTTTGTTTTAGAAATACTTCTAATACTATCAATGATTTCTAAGATATGTTTCAATATTAATGACTTAATTCATTACCACAAAATATATGCAAAAAGGTTTTCAAGGGGGAATGATTGCAGCAAATTGAATAAAACAGCAAACTTTAGACAAACAGCAATTCACAAATTCTCCCTTTTAAGGGAAACAGCGCATGGTGGTTTGGGAAAATGACTGCAGCGAGTGAAATCGAAGTTAAGTGCAGCATCATAAAGCTTTTACCTCTTTACACTTTGTCAGAACTGAAAGGCCGAGGTGCTTCAGTCATGTAGTCACTTCATATTAATGGACAATTTTCTGCCTCCAGTGTGTCCAATAAATATGATCCTGTAATTCTGTTTGCAGCGTTTCGAAACCACCAACAGTCAACATGGCCTTGAAGCTCTTTATAGATACATAAAACATCATATTGGCCAATATCCCATAAAAGACTCACGCTGTCAAACTCTCTTTTTACTGTCTCTTTATCAAACAAACTCACAACAGGGGTCAGGGGGCTGAAGTTTACAAATGCTGTACCTCATCAAATTTAACATGCTATCCAGCCACTTTTTTTTTTACAGCTAGGGGAATTGTGTTCTGTATGATGTGATATTGAGTTCAGGTTGACATTAACACTCTTTTATTTGACCTTCCAGAATATTCTTCATGATGAAGCATTATTCACATACATTCAAGCACAGAATATGCTGTGCACATTTCCACAGATATGGTTCTATTTAAAGGAGTGTTTTAAATGTTCCTTTCTCTTTTGTAAATTAATAGCTGAAACAACTTTCATATTGATGAAAATCAGTTATCTACACTAAAGTATGACGTAGGAATGTTACTAAGTACCGTATAATATTGGGACTACTTGAATTTGACCTTTTTAATAATATCATACATATCATTTTAGCAATAATGTGCTGTATTTTGATGTTAATACAATTTGGATATTGGGATTTTGAATGACTTATTTAGACCTCACATTGTACAATGTGGTGTTCTTTTAATGAAATAGATCAGAAGTAGTTTATTGAAAAACCTCCTTCACCTGGTGTGAGTGGGTCTGCCAGTAAAGTTTCAATACTACCAGAGGGGGGGAAAGTACTCAGATCTTGTACTTGAGTAAAAGTAGAAGTACCAGAGTGCATAAATACTCTGTTACAAGTAAAAGTCCTGCATTGCAAATGTTACTCAAGTAAAAGTGCAAACGTATTGGAATACAAAAATATCAAAAGTAAAAGTCCTCATTATGCAGATTGGTTATTTTTATTGATTTGAATTATTGATCATTAAAGTGTTATCCAAGCTGGTAAAGGTGCAGCTAGTTTTAATGACCAAATACTGCAGGGTAGATTGTGAATTTAAGTGTAACTAAAGTCTTATTTAAGAATTGATTATATTTCACATCATTAATCCAAATCTGTAGAGTAACTAAAGGTAGTAAATAAATGCAGTGGAGTAAAAGTACACAATTGAACTCTGAATTGTAGTGGAATAGAAGTACAAAGTAGCACAAAATTGTACTCAAGTACAGCACTTGAGTAAATCTACTTGGTTACTTTCGCCACTGAATACTACCAATACCAAGTCCATCTCCATAGGCCCCATGTTAAAAGGCCCAACTTAACAGCAATCATGTTTACAGCTTGGTACAAAATACGGTTTCGGTCTCTTAAGGTAATCCCATGTTCCTGACAACTGTACGAGGGGTACCTTTGTATAGAATGTACCTGATTCATTTATATTAGGGCTTAAAGTTAATCATAATTCAAACATGGCCGCTTTGAGTGACAGGTGGTAGCCATCCAAGGTCACTAGCTGCTAATTGTGTGCTCTGCTGCATCACCTGGGCCTGCCTCAGCGTCACTGACTCTCCACCTCTTCGCTCATTTTTCAGACTTTTAAAAATACCCTGAATCAGAAACAGATAAAAAAGAAATAAGAACCTTAACATTTCCTCCATGTTTCTTTCTGCTAACTCTGCTTTCCCGGGTGTTCCAGACTTCGATTGTGACAACAACCAATAACAGAAAGTCCTGCTCATCTTCTGGCAATTGGAACGAAGCATATCGCCTATTTTAGAGTTAACTGAATAGAGTACAAACCTTTCCTTTACTACATTTAAGCTAATTCTGGCCCATGTGGAAATTGCAACTTGTTGGTGAGAGTCATCTCAATGGTTTACAGAGCATTCTCCATACGTCAAATGTAATGGTGCAGTTGTTGAGGTACTTTTGCCACCATAATTAGATTGTTTGCACAATGTCTTGAAATGGAAAAACACCAGATTTTTTATCTCAAGGTAAAACCAAATCCATTCAGAGCAGAGAATAGTTAGCAAAGTGCAGTTGTTAAGAGTTAATTGCCCATGTTGTAAAATTGTAGTTATACTTTAATAGTAGGCTGTATTTGAAACTTTCGATGAAACATTTACTTTTCTCTGATCTCTTGGTTCCTCAGGTGTGTATCCTACTGGCCAATGAGTAACCAGGATAACTGGCTAATATACCCAGCCACATCTCCATGAAGTCATGCTTTACTCCTGCCTGTTGTCTTATTTTATAGGCATCTTTCCATACATGTGAACAAGGAGAGAAATAAAGGCTGAGCTGATGATGAGTACAGAAATGGAAAAAATAGAATATGAAAAAATGAAAAGGAGTTAATGAAAAGCAAAAGAGGGAGGGGGGAAGGAAGAAAAGATTCTAAAGAAAGATACATATAGATAGATTCCTTTTATCTCAAGCTATAAAGAGGGGATTTGCGATGAAGGAATTAAAGGAAGGGAAGCCTTGATATGCAAATGAAGCTGCTGCTAATCAAAGCAATAAGATTAGCCTTCCAAATTGAGATGAAGAAAGGCTCCATTATCTGGGCCGAGTGTCATGTTTAATAACGCGGAACGGCATGGTAATTCACCAGTGATGCAACTGCAGCCCATGTGGGTGTGCATGTGTGTGT